GACGGCGGTCACGCTGGCAGGACAGAGGGCAACCAGTCACGTACACAATACATAGACCGATATTCGTGACTTTGCCTTGCTATGGGTTCCGTACTATGTCTCCCCGGTCTCAGCTTGTGTGCTCGTGCTGTCATGGATGCCTACATTTTCACTAACTTTTGCGAAAATCGAATGAGCGCGTTTTAAATATGATGGCAGGAGCAGGACCTACATGAGTTCGTTGCCAATCTTATTTCTTGTTCTCAGTGCGATCAAGTGACGTCATATCGGGGTGCAGGTTTTCAGTTTAATCACAAGACCGCTGTCGGGTGAATATCGACCTGAGCATGAATTTGAATATTTTGACGACCTGATCAATGAACACACCTTGTGGTACCCTGCAGGTTTGCCCCGACCCCTCAAATCCCTGGATTTCGGTCATTTATTTTTCGAACATTTGTGTTTGTTATTTTCCATACGAGGGCAGTTTCAGCATCCCAGTATCACTGCTAAAATTTGCATTTTTAATTGTGCTCCAGCCATCTGTAAGTAATATGAGTGTCACAGGCACAGAGGGAAAATTACTTGTACCGTGCCGCCTATATATATATACATGCTTGTCTGATAAAAAGCATCGGAACACGCGATGTGATCGAGTGCCTCAGCTTGGTCAGGAAAGAGTTAGCATTAAATGGAACCATTGCACAGATAACTGACGAAGGACTTCGTTTCCATGGCCAGTATCGGCCTTTGTGGGACATCGTGATTACTGTAAAACGTGGCAGATTCGCAAACGTTGCAGATAAATAGCAAATCGTGAACAGTGGGCCATGTGCAGCTCACTTTCCCACACAATCAATTATGTCTTCGAAGTGCCCACCATATATCATCTGAACGCGCATTACCCCCTCCGGTAAACTCCTGCTACACTATTCATCCTTGATTATTCGTGCACCTTAGTGGATGGGCACGCACCATTTTTTATGACCGTAGCATTCACAACAATGTCGTTTATGACTGTCGACGGCGGCCCGTCTCGTGGTCGCGCAACGGCTGGCCAAAGGAAGAAAAGGCTGGCCTCACTTCGCTGGGATCGAACCAGACCACGGTACCGAAGGCGTGAGGTCAGGGCGGAGTGCTCTGTTTGACCCCGTGATGGCAGATCAGGTAGTGCTCCGACGTCATTAGGTCAATGTGGTGTGCCTCGTTTGACCCAGGTGTGGCAGATTACACCGCGCTCCGAGGCCATTACGGCCCCATCGTTCTGCGGGCCACGAACCGCTGCAGTGCCGAGTGACATAGAGTAACACTGTGACATAGGCCACAGCTGAGTATATAGGCCCTGACGACATTGGCATTTTATCAAACACGCAAGCAACGGAGCAATGTATTGGGAAACAAGCCACTAAGGTACACACAGAAACTGGCCAGCACACTGAAGACCGCTCACCACATCAGCGCAAATGACCAAGCGGCGGACAAGGCGATGCGCGTCATGGCAAAAGCCGACTCGATGCGGGAGCCGAAACGAGGTGGCACCGGTCACCGTGAAGCGATGTTGAGACAAATCGAGATGTAGTGCACAGCAGACCCGCGCAGGACTGGGGTGCAATGAAGCGGTTCCGACAGTCACTCACAGCGCGACGAGCTAACTTCGACCTGGCTCCGGCCGGCACAGCACAGCTCTGATGTCACTCCGGCTCCGATGTGTGAAGGTAACATGGCTCAAATCTCAAATCGACTCCGATGGAGTCAATTCCAGTGGCAACTTTCTGGGTTGCTGCTGTTAGGACTTAATATGACAGACCTGGACCACATTTTCCGTAACAAGTAATATGTATATATATATATATATATATATATATGTATATATATATATATATATATATATATATATATATATATATATATATATACTCTGTGATAGGATAAATACTCGTGTTTGATTGAGCATGTCAGCATTCAGTTTACTGTCGGCCCCTAGTGATGTGGCTGACCCAACCCTGGCTCTGACTCAGCGCAAAAGTCCAAGGCTATTGATTCTGCCGTGACTCATCGTTCAATTCCCCAGTGGATTCGGTCCTCCCAGGGTCAAGCACGAGCCCATTATGCGCCTCATCAGTGTCGCGCTGAGCAGCCAAGACCGCCTCTGATTGGTCTAACTTCCCAAGCTCGAGGACGTCGCACTCCCGGCAGTCAACAAAAACAGAGCTCGCGGAAAGAAGCACGCTGCCGCTGCATTCGGGGCAGTCGCTGGGTTAGCAACAATCAGCAAATGGCCGGCGGCAGCAGCAACAGGCAGCAAATGATCGGCGGCCAGTCCCGCCCGGCGGCAACAGAGACTGCAGCACATTAGGCTGTAGCGGCCCATCCGCCGCTGGGCTGCTTGTCGCAAACATTTTGGACTGTGTGTTTGCCGTCCACAACATTTTTGGACTTGAGACTTCTTTGAATATTTAGATCACATTTGTTCCGAATCCCTTTCGGGCTATTGGGCAAGATGGAATCATTCGTATGCGTATCGCCTACAGCAAGAGCGGCTGAAACAGGCCGACAATCGAGCAGTCGGCCTAGCAGACAACCCGGCAGATACGCTGACCAACAACCCGACAGATAATCTGACCAACAACCCGACAGACAATCTGACCAACAGCCCGACAGATAAGCTGACGAACAAGCGAACAGACAACCCAGCACACAACCTGACAAAAAGCTCGGCAGACAACCCGGCAAACAAGCCGGCAGACAAACAGGCATGTGCTGGACGTGTGACACTCTGTTCACTGCTTACTGCAGGGCAAAACGGGCTTCGGGCTGTTCTAAAAATCATCAATGCAAACGCCAGCTATGACATATCCCCAACGTTCAGACTTGAGAAACAGGTCTACAAAGGTCCCCGTAATTCTGGATCAAGGGTCAGATAGTGCGGCATACATGCCAAGTGCATTTGGAACACGCCGCGGCGGGCGTAAAATATAGTGCGGACAGATAGCAGGCATACGTCCATGACGAAGCATGAGGAACGCCAAATCGAGATGAGGACCTGTCTGAACAAACAGCGTAACCACATCCCTAGCATAAGAATCCACGCATGTACAGGTTGGAACGATAGAAAGTGGTGTTGCATTCACAAAACGCAGCTGGCGAGCGCAAATATATTTAAGTGGAGACGGGAGCATGCGTAAGTGATGGCGATCTGGAGAAAATCGTTTTAACAGACTGACGATATGAAACGGCCGATACAGTTGGCTGGAGCTCGCAGCCTGCACTGGATGCTAATCAGCACTCAAAGAATGCATGCCCATGCAGTAACGCACGTCTTACGAGAGACAGGCGCTGCACAACAATGCTGTCGTATTTCTTCCAGGGAAAGCGCAAAAGCCAATGTTCCTATCACGACCAATTGCGTAGCGACAAAAGCAATGTGTACGGGCGGCTCGATAGTGGGACCTCTTCCCACCGCAAACGGCACAGCCCACGGAACCCAGCCGTGAAGCCCCATGTCACATTCCGCCAATATCACAGACAACAGCGCAGATGGTCTGGGTGGCTGGTATTACTTCAGTACAGGCGACACTGAGAAGGAAGCGAACCCTGCAGTAAAGGACAGAGGAAGCTTGGCCGACTCGGGTGGCAAGAAGGGCACTGAAGCAGCGGCGACGAGCCGGGGAAGCCGCGAGATAGACGGATACAGCTTCAGGGCTAGGTATAGCTGACTCAGGGGATATGGGATATGGACCACCGACACCGTGGTAACAGGGCTGGGGTCACGGGCACGTGCATGACAATCCAAAAAATCCTCACGAGGTCATACCACGGAAGCGACACTGGGTAAATGACATAGGTGAGTCCGGGGACCTCGAGGGTCTTTTGATTATCAAAACCCTGGGCCAACGCGTGCATTCAGGCCCTGCAGGAATAATTGCTGGGAACTTACTAGACGTATGAAGGACATGGCACACAAACAAGGACGGGCAGATGTATGCACATCTAATTCAATCTGCATGTCAAACACCACCATCTTCGACCTCGAGAACACTACGATGAGTATTTTGCGATCGTCAGCACGGCACACTGAGGGCGGCCGACTGCCTGTCACGAGCGGTACTTTGATTTTCAGGGAGCATGCCACCGACATATCACCACGCCGCGTCATGACGTAGCCGAGAGTTTGTTAAGAGGGACTATTGCAAAGCAGCCTTCTCGTGCCAAGACTCTCAAAGACTCTGAGATGTTACATTTGAACCCAAATAAACAAAGCTATTAGTTGTAGGTGAGTAAGTGTAAGTGAACAGATACAGGCTTGTAGTATTGCTGAATAAGGTTTACACAAGCAGCGCAGCTTGCATTTTCTTTCTCTTTGGACTGCAATAAAAAGAAAGCGTGAAGTGCAATGGAATGTGCAGTATGCTGTTAGGCAGCTCAAAATAGGGGGTTTTCATCAGGACCACAATGGCCAGAAAAATGATGAGTCTGAATACAATTCACAAACGCGATTCAGAGATAACAGTTTTTCAATTACGGTGAAAATACGGGGACCGTCAACATGATGACTACCAATGCCGTGTCGTTGGAAATACCGCCGCTCTTCATGACAAAAACGAAGTGAAGCAAGTTACGACGGAATTATGGTCGCTTTGGTTTAAGTCGTGGGTGCAAGGCAGCAGACCACCTAAACCGTATGGGTAAGGAAGGTCACGCGTGTGCGCAATGTAACTGACTTGGTACCATCTAAACCGTTACGCCCATACCCAAATAACTTCAAGCTTCCCGCTACTACCTTCGAATCTAGATTTGGCCGGAAAGAAGATGCGTAAGGTCACTGACGTTATAGATCAAACGAAGTCTGACTGACGCTTCAGCTTCCTGAAACACTCCCATGGCCGGGCGATCCTCCTGAGCGAGCACACGATCGCCGCGTCCCCTTCCCATCAGCCCCCCCCCCCCCGCCGGCAGCCAGCCCGTGCGCCCAGCCCCGCTGCGCCGGTGACTGGTGGCCGCCCGACAAGCCGCAGCGCAGCCTAGCAGCGGCGGCCCGGCGGCTCGGCGGCCGGCTCGGCGGCGATCGAGCCATCGCGGCTGCAGCGACGCAGCCAGTCGCCGCCGCCGGCCGGCTTCGGCGCCGAGAGTGAGCCGCCGGCCGCCGCCGTCTGCACCAGAGCAGCCAGCTCGAACAGGTGACTGTCCTGCTCCTCCGGTATGTGCCTGCGGAGGGGCGGGCGTATCACCCCAGGCCTCTGGGTCTCAGGACGCGTGGCGGGTCGCTGTCCGCGGGGCCTCATCGCAAGCCATTCAGTCATTGAGCCGTTTTTATGTTGCACAGAACCTTACGGTTTGCACCAGATCCGATGATGATGACAACGTACAAGTGTGATGTACTTCACAAACACCGCTACGACTTGACGCCAAGGGGAGGGGTAAGAACCCAGGCATTTTGGAAGTAAAGCCAACGAGCTAAGATTTTGGAGGCAAAGCAATTCAAACGACTGGGTCGCCGCTGGGGCTACATGAAAAACACAAGATTCCATAGCTCAATAAGGCCCCTGCCTCCCACTGCTGGTGACGAGCACAAAGGCCCACATGGCGAATACAGCGGATCATGATCTGCTGGACCGACACCAATGTCAGGCAGCAAGTTTTCTCGGCATGAGAAGCCATCCCGTCCTTCCTCCCTCGCCGTTATCCAGCCCCCTCCCAGGGCCGACTAACCGCTTCATGAACCGCACCAGCTGCAGCACGTAGTCGGCGTTGGGGCCCTTCCAGCCGCGCGCGCCGGCCACCTGCTCGGCCAGCTGTGCCAGCGGCGCCGGCCCCAGCCACTGCGGGTTGTCGTCGGTCGCCAGGTACAGCATGACCGGGAAGGCGCGCTGGCGGCCGTCCCGCGGCTGGAAGCGGGTCACGCGCGTCTCGTAGCCGCCCAGCGACACCTCGCGGCTGTGCAGGTAGTTGATGGCGGCCGGGTCCGTGATGCAGAAGGCGCAGCCCCACGTGACCCCCTGCCGGCGGGAGGGGTGGGGGGGGGGGGGGGGGCGGGAACTGCGTCAGACGCTCGCCGACCTCAGCTCGAATGCGACTCCAGCTTATTCACAGAGGACGCAGCGGTGGTCCAGGAAGCGGACAGCAACCGAATTTTTGGTCGGCGGTTCTAACCTCCTCAAAAATACCACTGAGCGGATGGAACGTATACTGGCGTCTCTTGACGATTGGTTTAGCCATTATGACGTCGAAGTCAACGCAGACAAAACCCAGCGCATATTATCGGGAAGTCAACGAGCCGGGATGGCACTCCCCACTTTGCCGCCACATTTTGTGATCACCATCTCGCTCTCTGTTTGGACGCAAGCCATCCTGGTCCAGTCTTGCCTTGCACCCGTGGCTGAGATACTCCGCTCCGCTCAGAGTTCAGCTCTGTTTCGGCAGTTTGGCCGGTGTATGATCCCTGAAGCACTGCCTACCCTTCCGCGCTCTTGCTTCTTTCGCTGGCGCCTGGATTTCGTCCCAGGCCCGCTATTGTATCCCTGCGTACGGTAACGGTACGTGTGTACCGGACGTGTCATGTTTGAACAACTTAGTCAAGATTAATTTCGGACGCGGCAAATCGACCAGGCATTGGACCTGCCTCGGGGATGACAGTCAGCTGAGCATGAAACGAGCCGGCAGGTGCCGCTCGCTCACACTGTTACACAAGGTTCGTCGCGCAGGGCAGCAGAGATGCTGGCCAGTGAGCTTGGCGCTGTGGCAGAGACGCTGGCCAGTGAGCTTGGCGCAGGGCAGCAGAGACGCTGGCCAGTGAGCTTGGCGCTGTGGCAGAAACCCGACAAGGAAGCACCAGACAGGGCGGTGGGTTGTACGTCTCCCAGTCCTGAGCTCATGCGGGTGAGCGGCGTTTGCGTTGGCATGCGGCTGTTCATTGTAACGAGGTGTCGTCTGCGAGCTCCTGTACCGCTCAATTTTTGTCGCCGCGTACCTCCTGAGTGAGACGTCAGACACTGGATCACAATCTGTTGCCGCTGTACCTACCCATCAGCGTGTTAGTCCTGCGCATGTGTGTATGCGTGGATAGGTGTGTGTGCGCGTGTGTTTCCCTTCGACACTCTGTGGCGTCTCGTCTTTATTTTTCGACGATGGGGTATGACCATGACCTCACTGTGGATGAGCTGAATACATGTTTGCCTGTATATATATATATATATATATATATATATATATATATATATATATATATATATATATATATACAAAGCTTGTAGAGAGAGAGAGAGAGAGAGAGAGAGAGAGAGAGAGAGAGAGAGAGAGAGAGAGAGAGAGAGAGAGAGAGAGAGAGAGAGAGAGAGAGAGAGAGAGAGAGAGAGAGAGAGAGAGAGAGAGAGAGGAGAGAGAGAGAGAGAGAGAGAGGAGAGAGAGAGAGAGATAGAGAGAGAAGAGAGAGAGGAGAGAGAGAGAGAGAGAGAGAGAGAGAGGAGAGAGAGAGAGAGAGAGAGAGAGGAGAGAGAAGAGAGAGAAGAGAGAAGAGAGAGAGAG